GAATCTTAGATCCACCTTATATATCTTGCTCACTGGTTTAACTCCTTCATTCATAAATATATGGAACCAATTTATCCATATAGGAGCATGGCATGTTCACAATAGATAAACTATCTTGACCAAATGATATCTCCATGCTAGAAATAAGAAATTATTTACTATATTAAACCCTTTTCCCTATGGTATGTCATTTAATTAAATTGAGCAAGTATATATTGAACTTCCATTATGCGCAAGACACTGTTATTTCCAGGGGTTGGGAATACAAAGATAAAAATGACAAGTCTCTGTCCTCAAGGAACTTACATGATGGGGGCTGGGAAGGGGACATGGAGGGCAGTGGACATGACATACGCAAATAAATACAATGCAGTGTGTGTGGAATAATGGAAAGGAGGGATCTAAATAAAGTACTCAACAGTGTTTTAGAAGAAAGATAATTTTAGTTGGGGAAATCAGAAAAGTGTACACAGAGGAGGTGATAGCTAGGCTTAGCCTTTGCTCAACATTCTAAGTGTCTCTGGTTTCCAAGAATAGATATCTATTCCCTCAGCTTCACTAAAATGGCCACCATCCTTGTTGAAGCCCTCTTACCTCTTGTCTGGACTATTTCAATAGACTTTTAATTGGTTTTCTTTCTCTCAGTTCATCTTCCTTCTCTAATTCATCTTCCACAAAGCTTACACCTTATAAGTTTCCCTCTCCCTTTCATCAGCCCCTGAGTGACCAAGCTTATACCATGTGATTCAATGACATCAGCCTCCTGGCCATTCTCACATAAGACATTCCATCTCTAGATTCTTGTCTTTTTTTTATTAGCTCCCTATTGCCCCCAGGATAAAATTAAAACTTCTCAGCTTGACATCTAAAAGCCATTACTCTAAATTTCCAACCAACCTTTCCAGACTTTTCACCTCATTTCCCTCATTTATTCCATGTTCTAGCCTAGTTGGCTGAGGAAACCCTCCATATCACCTACTGTTGTTTTTTCAGAATGTCCTGTGTGTGTTGGGGAAGAAGAGGATCAAAGTCTGAGTGAAATGGACTCACCTTCTGCAAGAGGCCCTCCATTCTTAGATTACTTTCCATCTATTGCATATATATTTTATGTGTACCAAGTTATGTATGTGTTTTCTTCCCCATTAGAATGTATGCTCCTTGAGGGCAAGGTTCAGTTCTTACCTTTGTGTCCTCAGCACATAAAGTGATTAATAAGTGCTTATTAATTGATCTATCTTTTATTTCCCAATGCTTGATGCAGATTTTCCAAGGATGAGTAAATATTCAAATCTGACAACCAGAATAGATGTATTTTTCTGGAGAACTTCTCTGGCAACTTCTCAGGCATTTGTGGTCTCAGACAATCAAGAGAAGTGTATATAATTAAATCTACAAGCAAAGCATTAAGAACTAGGCTTCTCCGTTACATTCTTGTCTCAAGAAGGGGCAGAAATGAATACTTAAATGTTGTTCCTGATTTTTCATAGAGCTTGTAGGAGAACGGGGCACAAGACTTCTAGTAGCAGGGCTTCCAGATTTTTCCATCAGAATGGAGGATAAAGTGGTAATGGGGCACAAGTTTTCTAACTCTCAAACATAAACATAGCTTTCATTCTCTTCACAATAACCTGGGTGCTCAAGCTGAACATATAAATCAGACCCAGAGCTTCTGGCAGATTGATTTTGAATGCTAAAAAAAAAAAAATGTAAAGTGTAGGGCTGAGGAGAGCCCAAATCCAGGGCATCTTGAGTAATACAGCCCTCTTAATCTGGAAGTGTAATTCTGCAGTCTAAACTATTTATCTGGAGATGAGATAAGGAAACTTTAACATAATAAACACATTCTACTTAGCAAGGAGCCCTCGGAGAAGTGAGCTGGAACATAGCCTCAAGACATGGAATTTTCTTCAAGTTGCTAGTACAGGAAATAGAATTTCTCACACACTTTATTACATTATATATTGAATTGGGCCTAAAAATTTGGGTAGTTTCCCAGAACACCTTCCAACAGCAAAAGATACTATCACTTCCTGACCAGCCCCAGCCATGCCATGCCAATCTTACTTGGACCATCACCTCCAGCAACCAGGACCCCAGCCAAGGCCCTTAGGTCCTTTGGCTCCAATCAGCTTTTGCCCTAAGGGCTGGGGTCCAGGCCTCTACTCCACTTCCCACAAAAATACCTCCAGCACCATACTAGCTCACCTTTATCTTCTCTCGTTAGAAAAGTAAGATCCCTGAAGGCAGAAACTATCTTGCTTTGATGCAAGATCTTTTGATCTTATCTAGGTATTATCAGTACTAAGGCACTTACCTTCTCCATTTGAGAACTAATTGGATTATTTTCATTTGAACTGAAATGAGGTCATTTGGTGTTGGTAAACAGTGCCTACCTCCAAATATCAGCACTGGAGCTGCCAATTCTAGGTGTGTTAGAGATCTGTTGTTAGACTTTAGATAAATCACTTAGAGAGGTAGCATGGGGTTCCAGTCATTCCTCTTCTGCCTGACAACTGTTTCACTTTTGGCTAGTTGGTCCTCAGTGAACCTCATTCACTTTCCTCCTCTATAAGATAAGAAAGGTAATTCTAATACTGCCTACCTCCTAGGGTTATTGTGAGGAAAGTATCTTGTAAACTTTAAAATATTATATGGATCATTCAGTCATTTCAGACTCTTTCTGACCCCATTTGGGGTTTTCTTGGAAAAGGTACTGGATAGGGGCAGCTAAGTGGCACAGCAAATAGAGCTCTGGCCTTGGAGTCAGGAGGACCTACCCGAATTCAAATACAGCCTCAGACACTTAACACTAGCCGTGTGACCTTCCGGCAAGTCACTCAACCTTGATCGCCTCACCAAAAAAAAAAAAAAAAGAAAAAGAAAAAAAAGGTATTGTTGCTGTCTGAGAGGTTTAGAGACCCCTCAAGGACCAGAGTATAGGACGTCGTCTGGAATGAATTCACAGACTCAAGCATTCTTTGAGTCAAGGTGGCAAAGGTTTATTGTTATGCTATACAGGGGGCAGAGGTCCTTAAGGAATTCTGCCATGGTGGACAGAGCTCCTTAGGGGACTTTCGACCTAACAGGAATGATGCCAAAGCTTATATAGGAAAAGCAGTGAATTACAAGTATGCTAATTAGGTGATAATATACAACTACATCATTGTTTCTAAGGGGTGTGTTTTTGGTCTGTGATGTAACAGGATAGCTTCAGGAGTTGACATCCATAGCTTAACCTCTGGCTTGTGTACAGTAACTGTGGGCATCAACTTGATAGTTCTGCTGGTAGAAGATAGTCCTGTTCATACAAAGGAAATTCTACAGAGGTTGGCTTGTTCTTCTAAGAGGGAGAGATAGTTTACCTCACTGGGCCACTCATGAGTTACTGCCAAGAGATAGGCTCCTTGGGCTGGAGGAAAACTGTCAGGGATAGTGTTTTGAGGCTAGGAAGAAACTGGGGTCCAAGCATGGGCATCCAAGCACCCCATCAGTTTGCCATTTGCTTCTCCAGCTCATTTTACAGATGAGACAAAAAGGATTAAGTGACTTGCCCATGGTCACACAGCTAGTCAATGTCTGAGGCCAGATTTGAACTCAGGAAGATGAGTCTTCCTCACACTGGGCCCAGTACCCTGTCCACTGTGCCACCTAACTACCCAAGATGTTATTTAACATGAGCTATTTTATCTCTGAATGGAAAGTAGATGGGACAGGATTCTCTGTACCCCCAACTATTTAAACTCTTTAAGGTGAGAGTCCCTGTAAAGGTACAAATTGAAAAGACTTTTTTTTTTCCTACCTGATCATATCTTCAAAACTATGTGGGAACTGAGGGAATAAAAATGTATTTTATGTTTTCAATTACATGATTTAGGGGGAAGGGAAGAACCATTTATTAAGCACCTACTCTGTGCCAGATACTTATGCTAAGCACTTTAACAATTTTATTTGTTCCTCACAACAGTCTATTTTACAATTAAGGAAACTGACGCATGTGTGCCCAGAATCACACTGCTAGTAAATGTCTGAGGCTTACCCTCTACTGAGCTTTTATTTTTTTACCTTACTGTATGGAACTCTCCCTTCCTCCCATAGCACTGCAAGATCAACAAATTTGAATATAAGGTCCCAGGAGTTTTCAAGTGTTAAGCAGAAGAGTTCAGCAGAAACAATCCTGGAAAAGTTTTAATAAAGGTTCCTCTATCAATGGCCCTTTATTCGCTGGCTTTGACAGTCAATAGCCCTCAAATATTGCCTTCCATTTCAACCAGAGAAGATTACGTTCTTTAGCCTTTTCTAAGAAATCAGTAACATCTGACTCAGCAGCAGACTGATGTATTACTCACTCCCTTTTAGAGTCAATTTTTGTGTCATCAGTTGTTGGATTTCTTCCTGGTTTGCAAAAGCCAGAAATTTAGGGGAAAGATAAATGATCTATCTAACTTAGGTAGGTCATCCAATTTTTATTTTACTTTTTTTTAGGCTATAGAGTCAGACCTCTTATCCCCACCTTTTCTAATAAATTCTATTACTAAGTAAGTGTGATCCAATTACGGCAAAGTTTGCTCAAAGAACCCAGCTCTGAGTCAGAATTTTGGATGATCTCTTAAAGACCAGGTCACTGCTGGGACTATTCTGTAATTTAGCTTCATTGCCGAGGCACAGAACCAGCCCAGTCTACTATTCATATGTGGAACTTTGGGGCAGGGGAGACGACATATACATACTGTTTTCTGATAAATGGTGGCAAAATCATATTTATTCCTGTTAACTTGTCTTAACAATTTGCCTAGTATTATATTACAGTCTAAGAATTTATTCTATTTAGAAATGTTCCCCAGAATGAGCAAGATGAATTTGATTCATTAGCAACAGAAATTTGTTATTAACCACTTGTAAGTTTTCTCCTCAGCACAGTGTATCCCAGCTCATCCCTCTGATCATTGTGAAGTCAGTGGACACACATAGTGTGAAGACTAATTGTGACAAAGGAGGGGCCAGATGATTTATACCAGGTTGCTTTCCTATTTGTTTCAGTCTCCACAACCATCACTTACAGCTCGAAACTGGCTCTAGGCAGGGGGTCAAGGGGTCTACCCCTCAGGTGAGTACTTGTATCTTCTGACAGAGGTGATCAGTGACTTGCAGAAGGGAGGCAACTATAGTATTATCCTGTTTCTTTCCATTTTCATATCAAAACAGGAAAGAACTGAGTTCTTAGGCAATTAAACTACTTCACTTAATTTTCTTTCTTTTTTTCAGGCAATTGAGGTAAAGTGACTTGCCCAGGGTCAAGTATTTGGTCTGAGGCCAGATTTGAACTCAGGTCCTCCTGACTTCAGGGCCTATGCTCTAGCCACTGTGCCACCTACCTGCCCCCCTACTTCACTTCAAAAGGGAAATGTATAAAGCATGGGTGTAGATAGATTTTTCAACCCATGAGAGTATTTGGCATTAATTCACCCATATTTGCCAGCTTATTGCCAATCAACAAGCTAATTGCCTACTAGGCCTGGGGTTCAAAGTATTCCTTGACACCTTATGTTTTCTTTAGCTTCTCATGTGCCAGAGTCTTAAATTTTGCATATCTTTAATAGGCTAAGCTCCCCAAGGGAAAGGATTTTCTTCCTTGGAGCATTTCATCCCGGGTCTAGCACAGGAGGAGTGTTAACAAGCTTTTTGTTGAATGGGCTATAGATATATCATAAGTATAACTGACACAAGCTGAATGGTTAGACTGTCAGGTTACATGGGGTGGTCCAACTAAAGCCAGAATCCCAAAGCCCCCTAATGTGCCTTATTATGCCTTTGCAAAAGAAGGTAATCAACCAACAAGAACTAAGTACCTGTCTGTACTAGGTGCTGGGGGATAAGCATATTTCTTGACTTGATTTCATGGGTTGTTTCTCTCTAGGCTATGGCCTGCTCGTCAGAATGATCCTAGAGGCCAGACCTGTGAGGGCAGAAAGAGCTGAGGTAAGTAGTTTTTTCTATTTACAAGCAGGGCAGTAGGATGATTAACAACTTTTTTTTCCCAATTTAACCTTCAGGGATTGTAGTAGATGTTTTCCTACAAGCCAGCTGTATCAGCTAATTTTATGTAACAGAATCTAGCGAGAATTCAAGGCTTTTTCCTCTTCTAAATTATTTTTCCTTGATAATATTAGATTGTAGGAAGGGCCAAAGGGTTTCATACTGTTTATTTTGGGTGCTTGATTTTGTTTTGAAATGCCCAAGTAAACCAGTGTAAGTAAATTGACAGATCTGCCTACCAGATTCCTTATTCTCCATTAAATCTTTTGATTTGCAGAAGAAGGAATTCCAGGGAAGAAAACGCTACAGAAGACTGCCCAGAACCAGGATCATCTAAGAGGAAGGAATCATATTCTCTTGTTCTGTTCCATAGTATTTGTACAGGATGAGCAAAAAGGCCAATTGTCCCCAATGGGTAACATACCTAGACATATCTACCATTCTCGATAGGTTGATGGTAGAGTGTCCAGGCAGACCACTTCCCTTGACCTGGTCCAAGTTCACAAAGTACACTTATCCCTGCTTTTAACCCCCACATGCTCATTCTTCCCTTTCCCTTCCTACTTGCCTTAACTGTTCCAACTACCTTTTCTATTTCTTGATCCTGATTCTTCCATTCCATAGCTTTAGGGCCTACTGGGGGCATCCAAAGCAAAGTAAAAACATTTTTATTTGAGGTTATGAACAAAAGTTTAACTGGGAGAAATGTGTGGCTCAGAAGGGGGAGGGGATGCTATAGAATGGGTGAATTACCATTTGGGGAAGGCACAGGTACAGGAATAGGTGAGGCACAGCTTAGTAAGTGCCTAGAACACACCTGAACTGACAACTCCCAGAAAACCAAGGCATCAGTGGCCACACAACACATTTCCAGGTGGATTGCCAAGTGTGCCAGATTCTCCTACCTCTTGTCTTTGGGCACGGCATTGGTTTTTTGGGTTTTTTTGCCAGCCAAAGACAAGGTTCATTAGAACATCCATCATATTGGGCAGACTCTTAAGGAGTCTGAACATTAGTAAGACAGTTCTGAGCACCTTAATGGAGACAGGGTGGACCTTAATGTACAGAAAGACTGTGGGAGGGACCTAGGAGTGGCCAGTAATACAAGCCAGACCTACTTGCCATATATATATATATATATATATATATATACATACACACACACACACACACACACACACACACACACACATACACACACATTTGAAACTTTCTCAATTCTTCAAAAGAATAAAAATTTGCCATTTGGGAAAATTCCTTTCATATTCAAAACTAAAAGTTACCTTAGTTGTCCTGACCTCCTTTAAACTTCCCTACCTGGCATTCAAAAAAGTCTTCCACTAACTTCCCCTTAAGTTACCATCATAAGAACCTAATTTCCAATGATTCCCTTACACATAGCATGCCCCTCTCCTCCCCAGACAAATCTGTTTCCTATCTCATACAAACTCACTCTTTGCCAGCTTTGTAAAGCTTTTGTGAATGCTGTCTCCCAGTCTGCCCCATTTATCTTTAAAGGACCATCTCTTCCAAACTCACTTTCTTTGAGAACTCTTCCCAGAGAAAACCTAGCTCACTCTGATCATTCCTTCATCCCATATCCCTTCAGAATAGATGGCTTCTTTGAAGGAAGTTAATTTATATTCACTTGTGCATATAAAAATGCATACATTCCACTTGTATGTTGTTTTGCTGATGTTTTAAATTATTTCCCCCCTTTGTAACAAATTATTCAACTGGAGTGAAAGCTTTAGCCACAGTTCCTTTTTCTATTATATAATGGTCAGTCTCCTGGTTGGCTTTTTTGTTTTGTTTGGGTTTGGTTTTGGCTAGGCAATAGGGTTAAGTGACTTGCCCAGGGTCATACAGCTAGTAACTGTTATGTGTCTGAGGTCCTCCTGAATCCAAGGCCACTGCACCACCTACCTGCCCCACCTGGTTGGCTTTCTACCAAGAATGATGGTGGTTTTTTGTGGACACCTCTTATTTGAGTCACCTGTGTGCAGGTAATTCTGTGCTATCCAAATACAGATCATTCTTATGTGTGTCTTTTGTGTATGCGAGCATTTGAGGAAACAGTCAAGGTTCTAAGACATAATCACAAAAGCCAAAGAAAATGAATTTCAAATGGCAACCTTTTAATTAACCAGAGTTTCACTGTTTTCACATCATCCTCCCCAACCCCCAAAAGGAAACCAGATTTTGTAAAATCAGTGGTAGTTTTAATTTTTGAATTTTCATACACTGCTACCTAAAATAGCAACCAGTTAATACGACACACAGCACACACAAGCCAGTGCCAAAAATTGGTGTGTGGTTTTTCAACAAAAGAAAAAAAAAGAGGACGGTTCAGTAGTTCAGTGTTTTAGAACACTAGCTGACATCTGTATCACCAAAATTTTGTGTGTGTGTTGGTGTGTCATCCAGCAATGGCCTTATAATGCTTTCACAGATCAAACACGTTTGAGACCTTGAACATGAAGTAGGATTTTATATAAGCTGAAAAGGATAATCTTATCAGAAAGTTCATAAAGGAAAATATTCCTTGGAGGGGAAAAAACCCCATGAGTATATAAGGAATAAAATCATCTGTTTGTTCATGGCTATTTAATTTTTAATGACTAATTTTTGGTCTCTAAAAGTAAATATATATACTGTTTTGCTATAGGGAAGCAGTGTATGGCTATTATTAATGGAAACCAATAGGCTATTGGCCAATACAATCCCATACTTTTAGACCCACCCACAAAACTCTCATGATTTATTTGGGTCTGGAAAAGTAAAGAAAATGCTTTCAAGTATTCAGTTCCTATCAAAAACTGGTATCAAAAGTAATATAAAGGACCTAATTTCTTCATAATTTCACTTGTCAAAAAAATAACTTAAAGAGAAGCAAGAGGTCCCAGCCCTTTACTTTATAATAAATACTATAGAACAACTATAGTTTCTTAAAACACCGTGGAGAAGAGTCTGTGTTTAGCACCTCAATCATTGTTCTTAATGTTGGAAATGTCTCTGATACAGATGGAAGACTTTTGTAAGAAGGAGAAATACTGAAAGAGAAAAAAAAAGACATGAAGACAACACAACTTATCTAAAAGAACAAGATTTTTATTCTTACTATGTACGTATTCATTCATTCCCTAACACATACATATCAATCAACTGGGTAAGGAGAGAAATTAGAGAAAATAGGCTTGTTCAATAGAAAAATAATCAGGATCCATTTATTCAGTAGGCATTGTATTAAGCACCTACTATGTGTGTGGCATATACTGAAAATATAAAGACAAAATCAAAATAGTACCTGCCTCAAAGAGCTTACATTCTATGAGGTAGGAAGGAGGTGGAGAATAACATATACATAAAAAATTAAATATGTATACAAAGTAATTTATGGGTGAAGGGGATCAAGAAAGGCTTCCTGTAGAAGATGGTAGTTGAAATGGGCCTTGCAAAGTTTAACTAATTAGTTGGGTTAGGAGTTTTGCCAATAGACAAATAAACGAACCCTTTTTTCCTCCTTTATAAAGTGAACATCTCTTAAAATGTTATTCTGAGGGGAAGGGAGGTGGTTCAAAATTATGTGATTAAAAAGAAATTTAACCTCTAGGCATATTTTTGAAAAATAGCAAAATTTACAAAAGGTAGATGTCAACTGAGTGAACCTAGAATAAGAGAAGGCACTTGACAGGACAAAACATAATTGTTTCAAATACTGTGTGGACTGTTGAGTTAAATATAAGAATTCTTCAGAGGAATACATATCTAGAAGGCTATCTTGTTACAACCCTTTCGTTTTTTAAATGAGGAAAATGAGGCCCATTGAGGTTAAGGGACTTGGCAAAGTCACACAGGTAATAATCATCTTAAGTAATATCTGAATCCAGGACCTTTGACACCAGAAACAGGGAGCTTTCCAATATCAACAATCTGGGTAATTAGCTCACTTTAGAACTGACTTTTAAAGAGAATACAAATTACTCAGCAATTATGAGGGTGGCAGCTCTGTCAAATGGATCTGAAAGCAAAATGAGTACATGGATGGAATCTCAAGGGTAGGGAAGTAGAAGAAAAAGAAAAGGGAGTTCAGATAGCATAAGGTGATGATTTCTCTTGGGTTAAAGCATGTCTCACTTTGACTTAACATGGGACTGATTTAATCCTCTTTGATGTTTCTGAAAACAAAAGCCAGGAAACATCATAGGAGCTGCAGTTCCCCTCCTCCCACGTTCTATGGCAGTCACTGGCCTATTGCTGACTACTTGTAATTCATTACTGGATAATAATTGTTGAGACTTCTTGCTAAATTACAATGAAGACTTCTCAAAATTGAAAACATGGAAAAGAGGAATTTATGACATTTCCTGCTTAGTGAAAAATCTGAGAATTTATTGTTTGTACTTTCAACAACTTAATACAGGATAATGGCACCAAGGACTTCAGGTAATGAGTGGCTTTTCTAATGATGTGGAAATAAGCATCTGATTATTTTGAACATAGGTTGGAAAAAAAGAAAGATTTGTTTTTGTTTTACAAATAAATTTTGCTTCCAACAGTTAGCCCCATATTTTTTTTATCCATTCTATTTTAATATGCCTACATTTTTAATGGCCCAGTATAGGCTACCAAAAAAATAATCTAAAAATTTAAAACATGAATGAAGCTCCCCTGGTCAATAATGACTCATACTATAAAAATGGCTTCTTTAAAGAGCTAGGAGTATTACAGATAGATACTTGCTATGCTCAGCCTGTAGCAATTTTCAGCTTTCTCCAAAACATTTATTTACCTTTGTAGGCTCATCCAGCTTTTGGCTATTTTGCTAAAGGCCTCTGATCCAGGAGCTGTCATGGCTTCAAAGTCAACTAACTGCAGTGGGGAAAAAAAAAATGGAACTTTAGCTGGTGTGGCTTAGTACTAAAGAAAATAGCTTGAAATCAATTGATGTACCTTGCAAAAGACAGAATTCACAAACTGAAATTTAATGTACAATTGACCAACTTTCTATTCCAAACTCCAACATACCTTTCCTTTGGGAATTTTTCCAGCAACTTCCTTCCCACTTGCCATCAATGCGCCCACAATCACAGAATAAGCTATTACACTATATGGACAAAAAGCAACAATGATCAAATTCTATTTTCCTGATGTGACCCTCTGCTCACCACGCAGCTGCATTGACTTAAAGAGCTAAACTTCCATATCTATTTTCAACACTACTGTGGACCCTAAAAATGAAATTCACAGAGAGAGAATTTTAGAGGTGGACAGGCCCTTAAGAGATCATCTAATCATCACTGTAACATCCAATCAGTTTGTTTTAAACTTGAATAATCAAGATTAATTAAAATCAAATAGATGACACCAACTAAGCTTTAAGGAATAATGCGGAATCATTTCTTTAGTCTTAGTCCTAGTCCTACTTTAATTACAATGAAATAAGAAACAAAAAGCCAAAGTTTTAGTCACGATGTCTAATGTTAATAATATTAATATACTGTTTATGGTGAAATAGATCCATAATCTCATCGGTATGGATGTCTCTCCCAAAATCCAAATCCAAACCCATCCGTGATTTCCAGTCCTCTGCATTAACTCATTTTTTTGCCCTTTTCAGATTTATGAAACACATTCATAAACCATGCTGTGAGGTAGGTATAAACATTATTTTCATTTGTAGATGAGGAAACTTGAAACTCTGAGAGGTTACAATGGCTTTCCCCAATTCACACAGCTGGGAAGTATCAAAGCTGGCATTTGAATCCAGAACTCCGGATTCCTAGTCTCTACTGTATGGAGTAATAGATAGAGAGCCCTTGGCACTGGAGCCAGGTTCAAGTCTTAATACTGACACAGACTGGCTGTGTAATCAGACTATTAATATTTCATAGTATAATACAGCCACTTAACCTCTTGGCAATCTAGGCAACTTTCTAAGACTATAAATTACAGAGAAGGGGCCAACCTGCTTGGCAGAAGGAGTTTGTACATCAGAGACTTACTCAGTGAAATTACAAGTCCTGTTCCTATGTCTATGTGCTCCACAAAGTGCTACTCCAATGCTTCTTTTTTTTTTTTTAAGGCAATTGGGGTTAAGTGACTTGCCCAGGGTCACACAGCTAGTAAGTGCCAAGTGTTTGGTCTGAGGTCGGATTTGAATTCAGATCCTCCTGACTTCAGGGCCGGTGCTCTATCCACTGCACCATCTAGCTGCCCCTCCAACGCCTCCTCATGCAGCAGAGGTGACCCTGGTTCCCCAAAGTTTTTATGTGTGCATAGACTTATCTACACATATATGCACAAAAGAAAAATCTCCAGCTTTAAAACTTTGACCACAACATTCCATGGGAGTTAAAAGCTGAACCCAGTCTCAGCATGTGATAATCAGAACATGAAAACTGACTTGTTATAAAAGCTTCCTTATTATTATCATTTTTTTTAAAGACCAAGTTTCCCTATCTCTTGCCCAGGTTGGAAGTTCAGAGGCTACTCCTACTCACAGGCCTGACTCCTCTACTAACTAATTGGCTCAGGTGCCAAAACGATCTTTGTTTCTGACCTGGGTTGGTTAGGCAATCTGGGCCAGCTTCTTTCCTCAGGAGCTCACTGAATTAATGCTGAATGTAGAGCTGATGCTAATCAGAATAGCAAAGCTCAGAACTCTCAGGCTCAAGAGATCTGACAGCCCAGCCTAGCTGGGATTATAGGCATGGGATACGATGCCTGGCAAAAGCTTCCTTCTTGATAAGATACCTAGATGTGTTAAGACTGTACTTTCTCCATGTACTGATGAGGTTCGTTATATAAACAAGAAACAGTCATTTTTCTAGGCTTTAAGCAAGTAAGGTATGCAGGTGAAATACCGTACAGCCAGTACAACAGAAACATTAAAGATGTTAATAAATAAAAGTAGTACGTGCCAAGGCTAAAAACCATTATCTCTAAGAATCCAATTACCAAGAAAAGAAGACAGGAAAATCTCTGACTGTTTATATTGCTATGGAAATCAGCTTTATTACCCAGGGGTGGGAAATCTTTGGCCTTGAGGCCACATATGGCCCTCTAGGTCCTCAAGTGTGGCCCTTTGATTGAATCCAAACTTTACAGAACAAATCCTCTTAATAAAAGGATTTGTTTTGTAAAACTTAGACTGAGTCAAAAGGCTGCACCCAAGGACCTAAAAGACCACATGTGGCCTAGAGGCCACAGGTTTCCCACCCCTGACCTAGGCACCAAGGATTCAAATCTCTCATGAATAACAATAGTTCACAAATTTTATTTTCTGAGAATTGAAGGGTGGGGAGTTCATCTTTAGAATTCTTTCTTTGGTTTTAGCAGATACCTAGCTGACTAATCTTCAAGCAATAATACAAGTACCATTTTTTAAAAATTGGCATTTTCTGATGATATGGTGTTTTATGGGTACCATTTAGTTGTGTTTTGGGGGACAGGAAAGGAGTACTGTTGGCTATTGTTTTATTTTCTTGATATTTAATTTTCTACTTGTACTCTAAGGCAGTTCATACAAAGGACACAATTTTTATAATTAAAGAATACCACTGACCTGGATCCTCTGGAAAGTGGCATTAAGTTATAGAAGTAGTAAACTAAGGATAAGATTAGGTTGCAGACAGCATCAGCCTCCTGGGGAGGGAAACAGAAACCCATGAACATCAAATACCGGCTTGTAAAATAACTATCCATAAGGTGACAAGACACACAGGAATTATTTCCATCAAGAAAAATGTTGGCTTAATTCCTCCCTACAAGAAATGAAATTGTCTAACTTTCCATCTTATCATATCCTTAGTAAATCCTAATGTATAGTCTATACTGAACTATCTTCTTCTTTCTAGAGAAACTGAATGATTTCCATCTTGAATGTTTTCCCTTTCCATAAAAGACAAGGTACACATGCAAACCCATAACTAAATGGCTAAAGAAATTTAGTTTAATGTGAAACTCAGATAAGTTTTAAGTCTTTTGCTAACATTACCTCATAAATCCTTAGGATGACATATACAAACTGATAAACTGATGTCAGAGAAAGGAAGTGATTTTTCTGGGGTAATAACGCAAATGAGTGAATGACACTGAATTAGAATCTAGACTAGGCAAGCAATCAAGGCTTAAAGTTAATAAAATAGGAAAGAATAAAATAGGAAAGATCTGACAAACACAAAGCACAGATAACCTGAAGTGCACTCTCATTATTATAAGCAAGTCAAAACCAAATATAGTTAATTTAAAAAGTGGGATTTTACATAAATAACTATCATGAATCGATTTATGATAATTATTCATAGAAACCATAATGAGAGAAGAAAAATGACAGGGGAAGAGCTCATGCCATTTTCACTTTAGAGCAGTTTCTCAAACAGTTCTAGCCAAACCAAAAGTATATTATACTGCAGTACCTTGCTTTAGTTGTATCATTCTGCTCCTAAAAATGGGAATCAATCATCTTGTTTCCTTTAACCGAAGTTGCTAAGTTCTAGATTTTTATAGTTATGTTGTTTTTGTTATGTTTATGTTTAAAGAACAGTGTCAGAAAAGGGAGGTAGATATTACACAAAGTAATTCAAGATTATTACATGGATAGTATATGTTTTCATAGTGGGAAAATAATGTTAGCAGAGACATTAAAAAAAAGATTTATATTAAGAATTAATCCCTTTCAGGAGAAAGTGGAAATAATAACCTACCCCAAGTTCTGATGAGAGAATTAATATTTTTCCTTTACTTGTGAGATCTTTATACAGTGCATCTATTTCGGCATGATATAACTGTGTTCTTTCTTCTGTGGTCTGAGTTTCCACAGAAAATAATATATTGCCAACTCTGAAAGCACAAGAATGAACAGAAATGGTATGGATTACACAACTCGTTCAAAGATCCAAAAACTGAGTATAAGAAAAGAAGTGAAACCGGGAAAGTTTTCTTGACATGGTAAGAAGACAAATAGCTAAATATCTGTCTATCCTCTCTTTCACTGCATTTAGTTCCTACATATAACTTCCAAGGATTCCACTTTCATAAAATGCAATGTGGAAGCCAACGTGCTTTGACTAGTAGTCTCTATGAGCTTAGGCTAATAAGGGGAACACAGCTGTACATCTTAAAGGCTGACTCAGAACTGCCAAAGAATATAATTTTGGAGTCATTCTTTGCCAGAGAACTGCCCCTGTTATGACAGAGATACAGGTTCTGAAAAATCAGCCAATCAACAGTTAACGGGCATAATGGCACTTACCACTTACCCAACAGTAAAACCAAGTATGGTAGGCAACATGCTGTCTCTGGACCTTAGAGGAAGTTACAAACTAGAATTCATAACGCTTATGTCTTGTTCATAGTCTTGCACATCTGGAATATCTAATATAAAACAACAGTCTTCATCCCAGGGTAAGGAAACTAACCTTGGAAATCTCTTATAGCTTGCCCAAAGGAGCTTAGTTGAATAGTTTAAGCTGTATAAGTACTATATACTAAAAATCTTTTGAGTTCTCTGATAGTATCTTATTAGGTAGCTTTAGATACATAGTTTATATATGAGGAGTAATTTTATTCAAAGGGGAACAAGCAGACTGACTCAATGGGCTAAGCAAATATATTCTTTTAACAAGGTACAAGAAATGAGGAGGTGAATACAGGGCTAAATCCAACAGGCACATTAGACTTTGGGGAGGCAAATTATTTTAAAATGTTAGAAAAAGATAAGACCCCATAGCCTGAGCCCTTAAAATGATTAATGAAATACAAAATAAAAACAAAGGGAAAAGACACATAAACATCTGTAAAAATGTTAATAAATGAAAACAACTTTGAGACACCATCTCATACGCACGAAATTGGCAAAAACAAATCAAAATGACAAACTCAATGATAGAGGGCCTGTGAGGAAACAGGCACACTTGTACATTACTGGTAAAATTTCAAATTGGTACAATCTTTTTCCAAAAAAGAGTGATAAAACTGATTATACCCAGTAATCCCACTACTGGAAATACATAGCAAGGACAAAATTAAACAGAAGGGTGATATCCTTATAAAGATGTAGCTGATCACCCAAATGTCTCATTTTACAGAGAGGGAAATGAGGGTTCCAGAGAATGAATTGCTCAGTTACTCAAATAGCCAAGTAAGGATTTGAACCCAGGTTTTCTTGCTTCAAATCTACAATGTATTAGTAAGCACAGTGCTCCTTCCTTTATACCATACCACCTCTTATTATTAGCTGACCTATTATTATAGGTAAGCAAAAAAAATGAAAACACCCTATATATCCAGTAGTTAGGGAACAAACAACAGGCTGAATGAACAACAATGTAACAGAGTAAATTTGCTATTAAGAATGACAAATGAGAGCACAGCATCGTGCGCAGAGAGCTGGAATCAAGTCAGGAATAATAATAAATAATAATATCTAATATTTCTATGTACAGTAATTTAAGGTCTATAATGCACTTTACATATATTATCATGTTTGATCTCTGACTTCTATCTAAGGCTGTGACAACCTGGGGAAGTCACTTAACTTCCCAATGCCCCAGATAACGCTGTGGCTGTTGTACATACATCACACACTGATCTGAATGGGTGGAGGGAGTTTCTCATTAAGTGTTCCCTATATGTACACATGTAATCATATCTGCCCTCCCCCAAAGTACAAGTCAGGAGAACAGTAAGAAATTAGATCAGACATGAAATGATGAAAAGACAAAAAAGAAAAACAAACTACCTGGAATAATATTGTTTATATTACCACATGGATATACATGAAGAGACAATCAAAAATATTGGTAGGAGCCACTGATGTAGAAGCAATTAATTGTTGCTCTGAGCTTCACTATTACCATATGTAAGATAGGAATAGTATAAAGTATCTATCTCACAGAGTTGTTATGGAGCTAAGTATATAAAAATTCCCAAGGGGCAGGATTAGAGAGAAAATAGAAGATTATTTTTCTTTTTAGAAATTACATACAAGTGTATTTTTCAAAAATATCACTGATCTAGAATGGATTAATAAATTGATGATTTGTGAGGATTTAGAATACCTATTACAAGCCACTAAATACAAGTCATGTCAGACAAATGTGACATCCCATTTTCTGACAGTTACTTCATTGGTAAGGGAATGCCAAAGAGCTAGTTTATCTGAACCTCAGCAAGGACAAAATCTCTAATGATTAACTTTGTGGACAGGACGGAGAGACAGGGACTGGATGATGGTAGTTCTACCAAACTGTAACCAGTTGAATGGATAAAGAATATTGGTTAAAATAATAATGTAAACCCTGACAGAGGTTTGGTCTTCACTGTTATGTTCAAAAGACCTCAACCATGCTTATCAAATTCTCAGGTTGACATCTTTTATGTTATCTTTTATGCTATGTAAGAGTTCAGGAACAAGGACTCTTACTTTTTTGCGTATCCCTGAATCCACAGTGTCTACCACAGCAGATGCTTAATAAATGCTGATGGTGACAATGATGTTTGTTTATCCAGCTTAGTAAGACTGTTGTTGAGTTATGTAACGCATATCAACACTGCTTCCTTCATCTAGTTTACGAAAACTTTTTCCCCTAACATTCTTTGGACTTTATTATGAAGGAGTTTTACCCCCAAGAAATCCATTTACTTGGGTATCACTGTATTTATTTAGGGATCCTATGCATGCACGTCAAAGCACTTCATAAAGTGGCATATTATTCACATGTTATGCTAAGGAAGTAAAGATCTGTTGACCTAGTTAAAGATTACATGATGCTTCAATTTCCCCCTGGCCCTATCTCTGACTTCTGGACTTCAAAATCATGCGCCTGTGGCTATCTTCTCCACAAACTTACAGAGCCTGGGGCCTCTGACTGGCACACCCAATCACCTCTGGGGCCTTCTCAACTTGGAATATTCCTCTACAAGACCTGCCTTCTTCTAATGATGAGTTCCTCCTGGAGCTTCCATGATCTAGAGAAGCTCAGTCTGGTCTGCCCTCATTCCCTTCCCAGCCCTAATCCTGGCTTCTGGATTTCAAAATCATGTCGCATACCAGGCCTTCATTACCCAACCTCCTTCACTTTTGTGCATCATATTTCCCCCATTAGAATGTAAGCTCTTAGAGGGCAGGGGCTGTCTTTCTTTTTGCTTGTATTTGTATTCCCAGCACTTGGCACATAATAAACATTTAATACATGCCTGTTTCCTTCCTTCCCTCATGACATACAAATTAAGACCAGAATTACTGAATGGGACCAACTCTGTTTGTCATTTAACTGACAACTGAACAAAACTGGCTTTGGAGCTGCCTAAAACATAATGATTAAATAAAAAACAGTAAGTGCAGAAATTCTGTACTTGATTTCCCTTGGACTTCCTCACTCTTTATTTTACCCTCTCAATTTCCATGTTCCATTCCAAATCATTTGCCAATTACTTCTTCTGGCCCCAAATGGATCAGACTTGATTTTGAACTCTTCTCATCCCCATTTCAAGTGAGATTTGATTTCACAACTCTGCCAATCGATGCCTGAGAAGCATTCTGCTTAATCTTCCCTTGCTTCCTTAATCACAAGCAGAGACAATTCTTCCCAACTTTCATAATCGTTCAAAATACTATAGGCAATTTTTGAGATAGTTTCCTACCAGATCAACGATCCAAAATGAGCTTCCAAAGATATGGGGGAAAAAAGGCTATTAGAATACTGCACTTAAAATATGGAAAACTGCTAGATTTGGGCTCATCAGAAAGTTCAAACTGAAGACAACATGCAAATATCATACCACCAAATTAAACCTTCAGACATCCCAAGTCAGCAGCCCCCCACAAAAGTCAAGGGTTCTGGCTATGTACCCGGTCTTGGTGTCTTTCATTTCAATATGAAAATGAAAATTAACCAGATTATCCCTGTATACCACCCTTTATGATATACTTCTTCTTAGATATCATGAGTGCACGAGTGCATGTGCACGCACACATGCACACACACATACACACAGACAGAGCCATATTTTATACTCACACTTTTTAAAGCATACATACTTGTCTCCTGTTATAGTAATTGTAAATCCATCATATTCCTTCCCTTGATCTTTGAGGCTAGGAACTTTTGTATTCACAGTGAACCCATCTCTTGTCTTACTGTTAAACTGCTTTCGGGAAGAAAGAAGAGCAATATTACTAGTCTGTAACCTCATAGCTGGCCCTTTGCTTAGTAATACACATTTTTTACTTGGCTATTTTAAACAAGGTCAACCTGATGCAATAAATGAATTATTGTCTACAATACCAATCAGTTACTAGGGAATGGTTATCTCTTGCTTGGTGTAGTAGAAAGGGCTCAGACTAGGAATCAGGAAAGTGGGCTCTAGTATTCCTGCCCTAGTATTTAGAAGCTGTGGGATTTGGGCAAATATTTAAAACTTCTCTACATCTCAGTGTTTTAGGAGCAGCTAAGTGGCACAGTGGAGAGACTGCTGGGTCTGGAGTCAGAAAGACCTGAATTCAAATCCAGCCTCAGACACTTACTAGCTGAATGACCCTGGGCAACTCACTTCTCTGTCTGCCTCAGTTTCCTCAGCTGTGAAATGGAGATCATGACAGCATCTTCCTTGAAGGGTTGTTGTGAGGATCAAATGAGAAAATATTTATAAAGTGCTTAGCCTAGTACCTGGCATATCATAAGCACTTAATGAATGCTTTTCCCCCTCCTCCCACCTCATATGTTAACTTAGGAACCTGGACTAAAGATCTTTTCAGCTATAGTATCAGACAACTTTAGATTGTTCCGTGTAACAAAACAGATTCATTCTAATGATCCTAGATGCTCTGAATCCAACTTTTAGCTTACCCTTACACATAGCCCAGGGGACAAAAAAAAAAGCTACCCTAATCAGCAGAGCAAGTTCTCATTTTTCTCCTATGCATTTGAGTTTCTATTTATGGCCACCCACATCCATGTGCCTTGAGGGGCAATAATAGTCATTCCTAAGATAAAATTATTATTGTACAGTAGAAAAGAGCAATGGATTCAGAGTCCAAGAATTCAATGTAAATTCCAAGCTCTGCCACTTTATTACACATCACCTTAGATAAGTCACTTAACCTTTTTAAGATTCAGCTTCATCATCTGTAAAAATGATAGGACTGAAGAATATGGCTTCTAAAGTACTTTCTAGCTCTAAACCTATGATCCTGGCACATAGGAGGTGCTTAATAATGCTTGTTGACTGGTTGATTGGCATGCAATCACCCTGTTTCCAAACAGAAAACATCCTAATGGCTTACACATATACCATGTGTAACCAATGTCCCGCCATCTTTGTAATGGGGGTATTTTAACAGGAATGACATTAATGGGACTTTCAGTCTTTAGGTTGGGATGTACACACCATTACTTTGTGTTAACTTTGTATTCACTGCACAAAAGATTGAGCATAAATTGCTATTAAGAACTTAATAATTGTAACATGGTCTATTATGAAAAATAAGCTACCCTAATTTGAGGCAATGAACAAATGCCAACAACCACTTTGTACCTGCTGATCAGTGAGAGTAATAATGCTGAAGGAGCAGAGTCATTTAATTTTTTAATGGTTATATTGCAATTTAAAGCTAAAAACTTTGTTGTTTGTCTACCACGGATAGTCATGCATAAAATGCTGTCCTTCAATTTAAATAAATATATGAAGGACTTTATAAAATCACTCAATTTTTTGTTATTTTGGCTATAGCTTTAAATCTCTTATAAAGCACTCTATATAACTGTAGAATAAAAATCTGACAAGTTAGTAACCTAGCTTATGATCCCATTAATGCCCCCTGAGGACATAGATGACCTCAATTTTATTTTCTTTTATAATGCTTGTTAGAATTATAAAAATGCTAAAAGTCATAGAATTTGCCTGAGAGACTTCAATAGATGGCAGTGAAAACAATATATCAATTGATCATATAAAAATGAGACAAGGAGATTTCACAGATCTTAAGGCAAATCTTAGCAAATTATCAGTGATAAATGAAGATTATTTCAGATATCAATTTTTTTAAAAAATTAATGTAATGAACATTCTCCATTCACCAAAGAACTGAAAAATGAAGATACTGCATTTGTCTCTACTCCTTACAAAAAAAGAAGCAGGTCCAACCTTGGTTGTTTCAAATTGTTGGTTTTCTAGGGAAGACAGGGCATGAAGAGAAATGAACAGAGTAAATTAAGAAGTTGCTTGCTACAACCCTCTTGTGGAATTAGGATAAAGAGAGCAATAGAATAAAATGGAAACTCATTCCACGCAAATTGGAGGGACCACCGAAGGCACTTGAAGGATAACAGATAAAGATCAAAAAGTCTTAAGTTGGGTAATGAAAATTACAAAAGTAAAAGTTTGGCACTGAGGCAGAGATGAACATCTCACCACAGTTATCCAGAATAAAATGAAATGAAGAAAAAAGAATGGGCTCAAGTATATCTTTAACTTATGCTCCCACTGTAACTTCCTTAGTTTAGGTCCTTTATTACCTCTTGCCTGGACTATTGTAGAAGCCTCTTAACTGGTCTTCCAGTCTCCAGTCTAATCCTTCTCTAAATCCATTCTTCACACCGCTGACCAAGTAATCTTCCCAGCAACACTCCTCTGATCACATCAGGTTCTTTTAAAAAAATTATTTAAAACCTTCAGTAGCTCCCCATGACCTTCCCCAATAAAGTATCAACCCCTGATCCTTGAATTCAAGGCTCTCTGAAATCTGCCTCCAACCTCCTTCCAGCCTTAGTTCAGACTACTCCTTTTCACATACTTTTTGTTCCAGCCAAGATGTACTACTTATACTACTCTCCACCTCTTATTCTCACCTTGTCCTCTCTAGTTTTCTGTGCTTTTGCTCATGTTATCCATCACGTCTACAACAAACATTTTCTCCCCCTCTTCCCACCCCTATATATCTGTCTGCTGAAGCCCCACTCTTCCTTCAAAGACAAATTAGGGGCTGTTTCCTCCACAGAACTTTTCCTAATATCTCAGTGAGGTACCTCTACACCCAGCTGAACGTTATAATTTCCCTCCACAAATTTCTCAGAGCATGATGCTGAGACCTCTCCCTTGTGTTTCACCCTCCCTGGTTTCACACATATCTGTTTAAATGCCATTTTTGGACCATTCAACTGTGAATGCCTTGAAAGTGTGTGACATATCTATCTTCGGTATCTCTGATGTCCTGCACATATTAGGCACTTTATACCCAATTCTTTTGTTGTACTAAGCCTTCTAAAAGAAGCACATATTTACATTTCCAATGTTTGGTTATCTAAAGACTTTACTTCATCCTTGAAAATTAAAAAAAATTAAAATGCTGAATTAAGTGCTTTTAAAAACAAGCACATATTTGTGATCCCTTTGTACTGAAGCCAGCCACAAAATGTTGACAACTGTTCCCTTCCCACAGGACATCACCACCCCATAGTCCAACTGACAACATTAACAAATAGATATCAACAAAATAAACAGCAATGAGTTCTTAGTCTTGAACAGTAACCAGACTGGCTTAAAAGCTCTATGTTCTTTATCAAATTTCTCTTTGCTTTTAAAATAAAGATGTTCACAAAATATCTGCTTGCTTTTAAAAGTCTGTTCCTACTTAAAGAAGTTCCTTCTTATAATGAAGGTATTTGATATCTCAAAGGCAAAGAACTTGTTGCTATAATTCTATGGCAAGTTTAAGTGACTGAAATGTTTCATATAAACTAACTATAAGGGCCATAATTAACAAAAGGAATTCAGGAGTTTCATCATATTAAATAATAACCTGAAAGACTAAATACTATCTTTTATTCAGAAACTTCCACTTTCAAAACAATTTTTACATACATTAATCATCAAATACTCATCAACAACCACTTGAGGTAGGTATAATTTAACAGATAAAGAAGCTTAAAGAGGTTAATATGACTTTTTTCAAAGTTAAGTGGCTTATCAACCAAATTAATTAACCAAACCAAGACTAGAACTCTAGTCTCTGGACACTTAGTCCAGCAGTTTTTTCCACTATACTATTTAGCTTACTTATTCAACTAATACTCCAGGAGTAAGTTATTTACACTTACACAACACAGAATGCAGTTCAGGAAATTCATGTCATATATTAGAATAATGATAAATTAATACATTTTGGTCTTAAATTAATACTAATAGCTAGTACTTTTAAGTTTGCAAGTAATTTTACATATGCTATATCATTTGGTCCTTATTAAAAATTGTGAGATAGGTTCTATTATTTTCCCTCTTTTGCAGATGAGGGAACCAAGGCCATGTGAGGTAAAGTGACTTGCCTAAAGTCACAGCTAGTCAGTGTCTGAGGGAGGATTTGAACTCAGGTCTTCCTGACTCCAAGTCCAGCACTCTATCCACTGAACCACCCACCAGCCTCTAAATTATGACTTATTTGATTAGATAAAATAGGTGACAACATCACCCTACTCCCTCTAAAACTTAAAACACACACACACACACACACACACACACACACACACACACACACACACACACACACACCCACCACCACCACCACCACCACCACCACCACCACTCTAATACTGAAAACAAAATAAATTCAGGACGTAATCTTAGTTTTATACTCATGGCACATGTCATTTGATCCAAGGAAAAGATCTGGCCATAATTAAATGATTTCACAACTATACTGATTAAAATTATAATCATAACAAAGCAAACTATGCATTTAGCAGTTTTTTTCTTTAGTCAGTAGTTTTATTTCCAAAAGCATCAGATTCATGACAAATTTACCTTCATAATTGGAAGAAGATCTTCTACTTTGTGTACTTTTTCAAGAGCTTCTCGAACTTCTAACAGTCCTTTGGGATTATTAGCACTAAAAATACAGAGAGGTGGCAGTTAAGGTTAATGCAGAAATGTAATAATTAGCCAAGCTATTTTAGAGTAATTTTCCATTTTCAATTTAAAAAACTTTTTATTAGTCATGAGTTATTCAGAATTTGTAAAGTTAGTGATAAGTCACACAGGAATTTTCTGAACCATGAAATGGACTTCATGCTAATAGGCTTTGAGAAACAGATGAGAACTTAGGTGGATGAATTATATCGTTGTTGTTGCTGTTGTTTGTCCTTCTTTCTCAAAGAGGACCATGACATCAGGGAGGTGATGCCATGACATGCAAGTGAATTGGATTTAAGTGAGGGAGGGCTGTGCAGTCACCAGCCTCACCTTCTCCTCTGGAGCTATCTGGGTCCAGTGGCAAGATACAAGGATGCAGTGGAAGATCTTGGCCTTTCTAAGCTAAGGTCTTTAACAGGTCTGTCTGACTGAGGCAATGCCCATTCAGTGACTAAGGCTAGGTAAGAAATGAGGCAGAGAATGGATGACTTATCCCCACTGAATTGACAGCCTTGAAAGTAACAGTCAGTTCACACAGTGTTTGTTTGTGAACTAGCATAAATCTTTGTTTGTCCTATGCCAAAAGTAAAAATTGGATATAGATTTTTGTTTCTATTTTTTTCTTTCACAAACTATATTTTAAGTTCAGTTATAGAACAAAAGCATCTATTTTTTTGGGTGTTTCTATGACATTTCATATTTGCATAGCAATTTACAATTACTTTTATAGAAGGGTTAAATGAGGTCCCTAGGCCAGTGGATGAGCTGAAAAACAGAACTCTCTATTCCCAGTCTTGTGTTTACTTTATATAAGCCATCAATGTAGCCATTTTTTTCAGTCGTGTGCAACTCTTTGTGATCCCATTTGGGGTTTTCTTGGCAAAGATACTGGAGTGGTTTGCCATTTCCTTCTCCAGCTCATTTTACAGATGAGAAAACTGAGGCAAACAGGGTTAAGTGGCTTGCCCAGGGTCACACAGCTACTAAGTGTCTGAGGCTGGATTTGAACTCAGGAAGATGAGTCTTCTTGACTCCAAGCCTAGCACTCCATTCACTATGCCACCTAGCCGCCACATAAGTCATACTGCCTTGCAATTCCTCCTCCTCCTCGATACTCTCCGCCTTGGGTTTTGTCACACTGCTCTCTCTTGGTTCTCCTCAGGCCACCTGTTAGGGCATTTCTTTTTCATTCCTGGATTAACCATCTATGTCTTAATTACTTTTTGTGGATATATGTCAGGATCCCTCCTGGGCTGTCTTTTTTTCTCTTTCTACATTCTTTTTCTTGGTGATTTCATCAGATCTCATGGGTTCAACCATCTATGCCAATGATTCCCAGATCTATATATCAGACCCTAATCTCTCCTCTTACCTCTAGTCCCACATGACCAACTATATGGACATTCCACACTAGATGTTCCACAGGCATCTCAAACTCATTATGTTCAAAACAGAATTCACAGTCTTTCCTCTCAAACTCACTCCTCAATTCATAACTTCTTTATTTCTGCTGGCAGTACTACCATTCTTTTAGTCATCCATGCTCACAACCTTTGCATCATCTAAACTTCTCACTCCCCTTCACCCCACATATACACTCCGCCATCAAGTCTTGTCAATTCTACTGCCACAATCACTGTCTCATCTGTCCCCTTTTCACCATTCACACAGCCCCCACCCTCATTCAGGACCTCATCATCTCTCACCTGGACTATAGCAACAGCCTTCTTTCCAATAGGCTTCCCATCCTCCCATATCTCCCCTTTTCAATCCATCCAGACAGCTGTCAAGTTGATAGTCCTAAAGGCTGAGTCTAATGATGACATTACCTTGGCACAAGAATCTCCAGTGGTGCCCTATTGCCTCTAGGATAAGATACAAACTCTTCTGCCCTCACTTTTAAAGCTCTTTGCAATCTGGTTCCAGTCTTCTTTTACATCACTCATCTCCACACAGTCCTATAGGGCTCAGGCCCAATTGGCTTATTTGTTATTTCCTGCACACAGCATTCTACCTCCAATGTCCATGCTTTTGCAAAGGCCATATGTGGAAAGTACTCCCTCTGCATTGTGGCCACCCAAGATCCTTGAGTCCTTCAAAGCTTAGCTCAAATGCTTACAACACAAGAAGCAACTTCTGATTCTCCTACAGATGCTATTGTCCTCCTCACCAAAAATTATTCTCTATCAATCTATCACATGCACATGAACACACGTGTATTTTGTTGTTACTTTTCTGGGTACGTATTATTTCTTCCCAAGAGGATGTAAACTCCTTGAAAGCAGTAACTATTACATTTTTGTCTTTGTCTCCCCAGAAACTAACACAATGCCTGGCAATTAGCAGATACTTAATACTTGAAGGAAATATGGGAGGAGAGAGGCAGGGAAAGGAAGAAAGAGGGAAGGAAGGGAAGAAGGAAAGAAGGGAGGAAGGCAGGGGAGAAGAAAGGAAGGAAAGAAGGAAAAGAGAGAGGAAGGGAGAAAAGGAAGGAGGGAGAAGAGGGAAGGAGGGAGGGAGGAAGAAAAAGGAGGGAGGAAGGAAGAAAGAAAGAGAGGGAAGGAGGGAAGGAATTTAATACATAAGAAGACTATGGCTTAAATCTCCGGGGTACAGCACAGGTTCAAAGAAAATGCTGCTTTTATAGGAGAACAAGGTTAGAGTGATCACACTGCTTTCTGGAAGTTAATAAAAGAATAAAGCCTAAAGATTAACATTCTGCAGAGTTCTGTGAAGTAGCAGGGAAATTTTTACTATATCCTGCAAAGCTATTGTGAGGGAGGGATAATGAAAAAGATTTTACAAATATGATTAATAACAAGCCCTACTTGGCCTGTCAGTATATGTCATTTTGCTCAAGGGAAATCTGACTACCAAATGTAAGATACATTAGAAACAATTCAGTAATATAGAAAAGGAAAGGATTACCCATGATAGACAAGAATCCTGTCTTTGATAAAATGAAGTATTTTCTCAAAATATTCCAGGTATCTCATGTTAATCACTTGACCCCTGTAAGATTCAAATAAAATGTATTAGTTATTTAATAAGAAATATTTAGAAAAACATAAGGGTTCAAAGCTGGCACAGATGAAAATGCCATTGAAGAGCTCTAATGAGAACCAACTTAAATAAGTTTGTGGAAACGGACTTGTCTACCATTAAACAAATGGGAGAACCAAGACAGTTAAACAAGGTTCTCAGCAGATCTTGTGGCTTATCAAAGGCCTGCCTAAATATGAAAACATAAGGTGAGCCAAAGTTTGAGGACACAAGAGAGACAAAAGGACCACTTTCTTGAGATAATATTCCCACATCAAACCTCTTGGCCTTCTACTTTCAAGGTATCAGATGCCTTAACAGGCACAAAGTTAAATTCAAACTTAAATATCAATTCCTTTTTGCCTTCAAGCATATTTAGTCTTTAAACCATAAAAATTCTCTATAAAGGTCACAAATTATTTCATAAAGGAAGAACTTAAAAGATCATGAGGGAGCAAGTAATTTATCTCCTGAGAATGGAAAATACTCAAGCATAAAAAATATAATTTTATTAAATATAAACAAAAGCAAATGTCAAGTAATTCTGTAAATTAACAGTCTCATTTCTGGAATTAGAAAACATTTAAGATGTGAAATAATGACATATTACTTTTTACCAAAAATTTAGGAAATTGGACCTTGCCAAGAACTGGGGGCTGTTTTCTATATGCTGAACAAAAAAGTTCGTATTGGAAAGGACAAGTGTTATAGAGTTATAGAGCCTTCTGGAGCAGAGTTAGGGTGTGAATATCCATACTTATAAGGAAATGCGTAGTGCATCACACATGATCTATCATAATCTATTCCTCAGGGTAAAACTCCTTTTAAAATAGAAGAATATGCAAAAATTTCATACCTGATTAGATTGATGTGGTTATTAAAGCCCCTACTAAGACTTCGAGCTGGCATTTGATCTAACCATAATACAGGCTGGTCTGGATCAGCAATCCTACAAAACAGAGCCTATTAAAATCAAAAAATTTATAAGGACTAGAAATGATCAAAAGTTTTTTTTTAAAGATATGCAAAGTGTTCAAGATACAATGAATTAAAAAGAAAAGCTGGAAGTTCATTTGTATCTCAGAATATGGATCTTGAACTTGGGGTACTACAACAAATTTAACAAATGGGTCACTATTCTCATAAAAATGAATCTCAGAGGAATTCTCCCTAACTATCTATAGCTGGTTTAATCAGGCACATTTTGAACAGGAGGAGCCTATAAACTGAAATTCACTCCCAAGTACCCCTGCAACATAAAATGTGTTCTTTTTTCAAAGTGGATTCTGATGCAACTCAGTAAAAAACTTCATGTGCAAATGTTTGCAAAGACATGGATAGAATTACTTCAAGACAGTGGCAGCAGCAATCTCTGACATATTTTACTGGGGAGTGGGGGTAGTGATTCAGAACCTATATTAACACAGGGTTTGTGATAATTCTAGAGAGCAGGGAGACCAAGCCTGAAGTAGTGTGCACTAAGCCAAACAATATTCAATGCCTTGTTTTGGTCAAGTCAATTCTTTAGTTCATGGCAACTGGCATCATTTCAAAATGAGGCTTAGAGCTCTGCCCTGGATCATTACCTTCGCCATTTTACTGCAATATCAAACATATCTCTCCACTGCATCAGTCGAGTTTTTCCATTCATTCGCACTTTAGAGTTGGCCCATGTCCTTTGCACAGCTTGCATGACTTCTAAAGCAGCCAAACCCATTGCTAAAGGGCAAAGAATTTTCAAGAAGGATAAGTATTGTTAGTTCAAGTGGGAAAGAACTAATTTTCAGACTTACTGTAATTTTTCCAGTAAGACAAGAGTTTCTAAGATATTTTTAAAAAAGAATAAAAAGACTCAAGAACATCTCATTATGCTAACCCTACTTAAATCCATAAATGGAAATGAGAGGTTTCTCCAAAGTGACCTCCTCCCTTCTATGTTTGTTACTAAAGCTTCAAGAGTGCCAGATTTCTCTTCCTTTCAACAGTGGCCTCAGCACAGCTGCCTATGGAGTATTAATTATTTAGATCTATAATCCAAACTAATGGTAGTAGCCAGCAGACAAAATGTAGAAGTATTGGAGTGTTCTTACCCCCAACTTCCCTGACAATTTCCACTCCCAACCTAGTGGTGATATCTGTACAAAGTTCTGTTCTGATCAAAAGCAAATATGATAATCTACTTTTAGTACAAGTTCTCTGGCATAGGAATTCAATAAAGCTTAGCACTGGCTCCTCCACATGCACAAGATGGTATAACATTTCATGCATAAATTATTCATAATTTGGACTACTAAACTGTAAAACTATTTTTTAAAAGATAATGCTCCATTCTTCTTGCAATCCAGAAAGAATCAGCACAAAATTAAAAATGCCAACCCCGACAAAAGCAGGTAGAAATCATTTCCATTTTCAGATCCAATTTCCAATATACCTCTATGTATTCTCTTATTTGGCAGGAAACCAGGTGTTTCATATTGCATCAGGGACCCCAAACGATCTGCTACACAAATCAGCTCCTGTACATCAGGCTTGTAGCTCTCAAAATTCTGAGGCAACACATCTCTGGAAGAAACATTACACACACGATAAGGGCTTTTACAACAGCCATTTGGAAATCCGATTCTACCCAAGCAGCGATCACTTCCTCCTCTGGGAAAATAACTAAGTCAGGCCTACAGCTGAGCCTATGCTGAAGAAATATATTACAACACAATCTCTACTTTGATCTCTCTGCACTTAACCATATTCAATTAAAAAAGAATCAATTTAAAGAGGGAAGTTATAGAGTCATAGATGTACACAGCAGGAACGGACATCAGAGGCCATATTAGTATGAGTCTTTTTATTTTTTTTTAAATGAATGGTGTCCTAAAAGTCTTAATATAGTTTTCAGTTTTTAAAAGCTTTAAAACTGTACTAAGACTTTTGGTACTGCATGCACGCGCGCGTGAGCGCGTGCACACACACACACTCTCTCTCTCTCTCATTCACTCTCTCTCTCTCTGTACCAGATGCAGAGGAGAAAAAGACAAAATAAAACAATCTCTGACCACAATAGAACCCACTTGTTATACTGAAGCCGGATACATACATTTTTACCAATAGGTTTGATAAACCGAACATAAAACTATGACCTCATGTCACCTGTTTTAGCTATTGCTCCAATTGGTAGGAGAGATAGTAAAGGACAGCTTTTATCCTTTCTCTGAGGAAAATAGTTCTGAATTGGTAACATTTTAAAAAACTTGTTCTGAAGGAATTAAAGTCTCTAAGGGTCCCACACTTCCACAAAAGAGTACTTTTAGTCTGGATTTCAGTTTGGGGCTACAGTAAACGGCATATAGCACACAAACAAGAGGGAGAAAAGCTATCCTTAAGTAAGTTTCAACTCGCTGTACTAAAAATATTTTCAGTGCTATTAACCTCAAGCAAAGTTAACTTGAAGGAACATGTAGAGAAAATGTTGTTGTGCATGTACAGGACAGTGAACTGGGGGCCCAAAAAGAGACCTTCAGCTTGATCACTTACTTGATATGGGGTTGTAGACCTGGCTGCTCTTCATAATCCTCTATGAGAAAGGGCAAATTTTTAGCCCAGTGATCTTTGAAGCTTCCAGGCAAATCCACATCAATATTATACTCTGTAAGCGGGGTATCAAGGTGGGCATGAAGATAACGAGAGTACTCTGTAGAAAAGGAGAAATGTTTGACCCACTCAAACACAGTGCCAACAGCGTTTTTCCCCATGGTTCAGTGCCATATGATAGTCTTGTCAGCCAACTGTTACTTAATCTATTCAGGAATTTAAAATGAGCATTCTAAATTTAGTAAATCACTGTGATTAAATGATAATATAATAAAGCATGAAACAACACTGACTTCAGGTGCTAAGCTAAAAAAGGTCAAATGAATCTAGGCCATTTTAGATTAAATTCACCTAACCTTCCATGCATGATAGTAAAGATCTGATTTTCTCAATCGTAAAGCCAAAAAGGTTTTGGATGACTGCACCTGTTTATCCTGTGGAAGATGACATTATGGAACCAGAGTTTAGAGTTTTATCATCACCATCATCACAATAGCTACCATTTAAATAGAGCTTTGAAGTCTCCAAAGCTCTTGACCTATGCAATCTCACTTGGTCACCACAACAACCCTGTGGGGTAGAGGCTACTATTATCCCTATACTGCAGATGAGGAAATGGAGGTTATTACATTATCTGTCCAGAATCACAAGGCTAATAAGTATCTGAGATTGGATATGAACTCAGGTTCACTTGACTGCAAGCCGAGTGTGCTACTGTACCACCCAACTGCCTCATATGAAAGGTTATAGACTAAAATTGCCAACTCAACCCCTAAGCCAGACAATATGGAAACTCAGACCAAAGGAATAAAAATGAGGTGAAACAATGGAAGACATGATTTCAACTCTATGGGGAATACTACTGTGCTTTAAGAAGTGATGAGCTCAATGACATAGAAAAACATGGAAAAACTTGCACAAAATAATGAAGAGTGAAATGAGCAGAACCAAGAGCACACTGTATACAGTAACAGCAATACTATTTGAAGAACAACTTGAGCTAATATGTTATTTTGTCCATTATAAATACTCAAATTAACTATAAAGGACATATGAAGAAAAATGCTATCTGCATCTAGAGAAAGAAATGATAAACAGAAGTATGTATAGAATAATTCTACCTATAAATACCTATTTGTATCTAAGGTGGGGGGGGCAAAGGAGAAAAAAAAATTTACAGAACAATTTTGTTGTATATTGAAAGGAATAGCAAGTTCTGCATAGCAGATTTGCAGTTTCACATACAATTGCCTTTTTCATTGTACTATGTTACAGAAAATGCTTGTTTTGTTCCACAAATTAAAAAGAAAATAAAAAACATAGTTGGAGATAGCTCACTGAATTTTGTTTTCTTCTTTCACTAATGCAAAATATTCAGTACTTATTTTCTTAAAGCCACAAGATGCTTGGAAGACCAATTGGCCCAAGGGACCTTTATGTGCAAAGGATTCCTTTTCTTACCTATATCTAACCTATCTTTAGAAGGTGATACAGCTCTCAAGTGAAATGAAGATAAAATAGGACTGTTACAATTTTTGCCCAAATATGTTCCTCAAGGATAGGAATTGTTTCGTTTTTGTCTTTATATCTCCAGTGCCTTGCACACAGTGTATGATAAATGACCGCTGAATTGAATTATTATAGCTCCAAAGGGGTAAGGGATGGGAGGTGGGTATGGTTTTGGTCATTTCTGCCTTACCTCGGAGGTATTTCACTTTCAGATACTCTGGACTAGCCTTCTGGCCTGGGAGAGGGTCATTTAGCATGACTTTAGTTTGTGCTTTTATTCCTTCATAGAAGTGCCCCATTGCCACATGGCTGAGTCCTTTCATATACTGGCACACTTCGTTGTATGGCTCTAGTTGTAGGCACCTCTGGGGAATTAAAAAAGAAAATGCAGTCATACAATCTGTCTGGGTTAAAACAAAATTGAAACTCTTTATTCAGAAGACACCTTTAACTTAGTTACCAAATTTCCACTCCAGGTTAAACCACATCAAATGCTTTGTAAATTAGCCTCTGTTGTGCATATCACAGGATTTTAGGATTGTAGATTTAGAATTGGAAGGGACCTTAGAGGATGTGTGGTCCCACCTCTTCATTCTATAGATGAGGAAACTGAGGTCCAGAGAGGTTAAACAGCTTGTCTCCAACCATACAGAGAGTGACAGAGGTGAGATTCAAATCCCGAACCTGACTCCATATCCAACATTCTTTTCCAACCATGTGGTGCCCACTACACTCATTTTACTGGAAGCATATAAAAAACAACCACCCTACAGTGTAAGAATTCCATCCGTTGCTCACCTTGAAATTCTTTAGGGCTTCCTGTAAGCTGCCATGGTGATAAAGCATCATCCCTCGGAGTTGTAAGGTCTGCACATGATTCTGGTTGAGCAGCAGGGCCCTTTGAAAACTCTCAGTGGCTGCTTCAAAGTTGCCCAGTTCTCTAGATGTGTCACACAATAGTTAAGAACAGGGTATAGATATAATTAGTTGACATGTAAATCTGCTTTTAGTTGAATTCTAATCAAATTTATAATGTGTTTATTATTATTAGTTTTGATGCCTATGTTCTAGCCCAGGCTACAGCACTGACAACCTGTATGAATTCTGGCACATCATGTTCTTACATCTTCCACCAAACCTTACCCAAATGTTATAACAACAAAATAAAAAATGTGAGGCAGACTGAACTCTAGAAATAAATTTCCTCTTACAAATAATGTGAGTAATGTAATCACCTTGACTCAAAAAGTGATTCTGCTCCCAGAAAACAAACTGGCATCTAAATTAGGCATTCTTAATCTTTTTTGTGCCATGGACTCCTTTGACAATCTGGAGGAATTTGTGGATCCTTTCTCAGAACAAGATTTTTAAATGTATAAAATAAAACTTGTATGATTTCAAGGAAGACCAATTACAGTAGAATACAAATGAAAACTACTTATCTACAGGTAGATAGTTTCATATGTGTATATATGTATATACACATATATATACATATATATGTATACATCCCAAATATATTGAAATAGTTACCAAAATATTAAAAAACATACAAATTCCTAGGCTGAGAACCCCTGATATAAGTGGTTACTGACCTAGAAAAGACAGTACTTTATTTTTTAAGAAACATTATTTGTAAAATTATGGAATTTTCAGATTACTACTACAGGTAGGAAGTGCTGGAATTACTGAGCCTATTTTACAGTCTAGGAACCCAAAGGTCAGAGATATAAAGTGACCAAAGTGGAAAGGCTAGAAAGTAGTTTGAGCTTGGGCATTCTCGTTGCAAATCTGGTATTCACTAGTATATCCATGCTGCCTCTCATTCCACGTACAGTATGTAAACAGGGGATGAGATGATGGAAAAAATCACTTATACTTACTATGTCCACTTCCTCGTCTCACATTCATTCTCAATCCCCTGCAATTTGGCTTCAGTGCCACCACTCAATTAAAGCTGCTCTCTACAATGTTCTCTCTTAACTGCAAAATTTAACGGCCTTTTCTCAATTATTTATTATCTTACTTGACCTCTCTGAAGTTTCCAATGCTGCTGACCACTCTCTCTTCCTTTGGCTTTCATGACATTTCTCTCTCTTAGTTTTCCTCTTACCTGTCTGATATACCTTCAGTGTCCTGGGCTGGAGTCTACCCTTCCAACTCACTAAAGGTAGGTATCACTCAAGGCTCTGTCCTTGAACCTCTTCTCTCTCTATAATCTCTCCTTTTATGATCTCAACTCTCATAGCCTTAATTATCATCTCTCGGATTTATCTAACCCTAATTTCTCTTGAACTCCTGTGTCATATTCCCAACTACCCACTCAACATTTCATTCAATAGTTTAGTTAGCATTTAAGCAGCAACTACTATATCTCAGGCACTGTGCTAAGTGCCAAGGAGACAAAGATCGAACAAAACAGTCCCTGACCTCAAGCAACTTACACTCTACTGAGGAAGACACCACATAAAAGTCCAGCTTCAAAGTGGACAGAGAGGTCCAGAGGTCCTTGAGGTGCATCCATAGGCCAGATAACAATGACTGTGGGTCTGGTAAGGCTCAGGGGAGCCAGATCTCAGGGAGAGCTAGTATATGGAAGGAGTGTGAGAGAAAGAGGTCCAGGATTAAGGGGAGTTTTGTTCATTATGGAAAAGGAATTTTAGAGAGCACAGTGGAGGGAACAATTGGTGTCAGAGTAGGAATTGGGCAAGGTAGGGTTGAAGAGCATGGGGATGAAGGAATCCAAATTACAAAATGGACATGGTTTCTTCCTATATATTCCTATATATACACACACACAGAAGTAATAGCTCAGAGTTTCCAAGGGTTAGTACAAATGATGCTGAATTGGGGCACTGGGGCACAATTGTTCCTGTCCCTCCTCTATGGTAGCTGTCAGAGGTATGGGGTAGTGGTTCCCAAGCTGGCAAAGGGTAATGGTTAGTCAGGCCATGGGGCTGGGGTCTTCCTTGACCTATGGTTCTTCCTGCTCCCATTTAAAAAGGAGCATAGGAAATGGTGTTCTTCCTGCTGGCAGAGAGTGCTAAGTGCCATGCAGTTATAATAACCAAGTGTGGCTCCCCAAAAGAGGTATGATATAATACCTTCTCCAACCCTTTTTTTTTTTGCACAAGTGGGAGACTATGGGTGTGGGATACCACATATAATGACAAGCTTTTTTGACCTCTTGTTTAGTGTTGTAGAAATTTTCTCTGTTTTTCTTCATACTTAATTTTAAGGAATAACTCTTTAGGAAGGATGGAAAAGAAGGACATGGTAGAAATGTAGGTGATGCAAAATGAAATATATCAATGAAAATGCTTTTTTTTTTAAAATAAATAAGAGGAGGCCCATGAGTGTAGAGCATGAGGTAAGGCTGATTACCTAGCAAAGGAGACTGAAGAAGATCACCCCAGCAGGTAGGAGAAAGAGCAGGACAGAATAGTGTCAAACAGAGGAAAGCAAGAGTTATTTAGTAGAAGATGCTAGTCAATAGTGGCAAATGCTGCAGAGGGGTTAAGAAGGTTAAAGATTGGGGCGGGGGGAACCTCATCTGATTAAGCAGCTAATAGAATTTTGGTAACCTTAGAGAAAACAGTTTCAGTTGAGTTATGTTGTCAGTAAAATAGAAGGCTGCCTTTATCTTAGGCATTTCACTATTCTATACAAAACTGCTTGGGTTTTGGTTTAGTTTTTTTTTTTTTAAGATTTTACTAAAGTCTAATGAACAGGGGAATCTGTTATGCTAATGCATGAAACAGATTTAGTTTAAAAGTGGTTATACGAAAAAAAGATTAAATTGTATTACCTCCCTTTAACACATTTATATATCTATGTAATTCAGAATAACCAATCTAATTTTTTACATAACCAATTTCTTTATTTAATTAAATCTGTTTCATGCATTAGCACGGCAGATTTCCCCCCAATTATTAGCAATCTAAAAAAACAAAAGAATGAGCTGCTTTGTATAGAACAGTGAAATACCATAAAGAAGGGCAGTCTACTATTTTAACATTTCTACTGCAGAATTTAGGATGAAAGAAACTTTGCTATTTCTTTAAGTCTAATTTTACATTTACAAAGTCACACATTCTTTCTGCATATTTTTCTTTGTTCTAGGAATTTTTGCTATCGTAGCCTTTTGTAATAATGTCTTCTTTTCGCTTGTTCATTTGATTTGACTCTTTGCCCTACACCTCTCCTTTTTTTTTTTTAAATTCTCCTTTTTCTCTTGTTCCTTGACTTCTCTTAATTCCAGGATCTGGTTTACTAGCATTTTCTACAGTATGGTTTGCAAACTCATCTAAAAATTCTTCCTTAAACACTGTTTATATTTAGCAACATCAAGCACACATTTGCAGTACTCTTTTGGTACTAAACAGACTCCATAGTAAAGTGTCTAAAATTCGTTTTTTGCAACTAATTTTGCTTTTTAGGTTCCCTTTGCAGGCAGGGGCACCAGACTCAGGAAAGTCTTGGGCCTTCTCATAAATGGGAGAAAATGTTATTTTTCCTCACCAACCATGGCTTCTTACCTTAGTGTAATGTTAAAAGTTTCTTTAAAATGTTCCTATCATTTTGGATGGCATTCAAATCAGCCCTAATCACGTTCACTCACCTGTAGGCTTGACCAAGACTTTTATACGCATCAATAAAATCAGCTTTCTGTTTCAAGGCTTCTTTGAAAGACTCAATAGCTTCCTATAAAAAAATTTTTTTAAAAATTTTGTATAATTCTATTTTGTATTTCACTGATACATGAAGACTTTAAAAATATATAGATACATATATATCATGCATAACTTTTTGCAGTTCCTTTAGAATAGACTACCCAAGGGGGCAGCTAGGTGGCGCAGTGGATTGAGCGCGGGCCCTGAAGTCAGGAGCACCCGAGTTCAAATCCAGCTTCAGACCAAACACTTGACACTTACTAGCTGTGTAACCCTGGGCAAATCACTTAACCCCAATTGCCTAAAAATACATACACACACTCACACACACACACACACACATATTTCAAATATATATATATATAGACACATATATATATAGACACACATATATATACACATATATATATACACACACACATATATATATATATATATACACACACACACACATACATACACACACAGACATACATATATATATATATATGAAATACTACCCAAGAAGGTGGGGGGAGGGGCTGCAACAAGTCAACCAGGAAGGGCACTCAATAATACTACACGAATCAAAAGGAAGTAGTTTTCCCACTAACTCAGTGGAAAGAATAAAAATTTTAAAAATTCCTTACTCTACCTTGCAAAGTGGGAAAAATACTGTACCTACTACTTAATTCACTGAGTTCATAGATCACAGAATTTATTCTGTGATGAATAATGACAAAATCCCAATGGTAATACTTGAATAAAGATTTAGAAAAGTACAACTAGTGATACAGTGCATGGAGACCTGGCCTCAGAAGAAGCATGAGGAGCTTATAATAAGAATAAGCATGGGAGCCTGGTAGAGGGAGTTTCTTAATCTGTGAGCTTCCCACAATGATGCCACTGTAAGTATACAATACAAATGATAAGAGGGTAGCAGCTGCCATTTATATAAATCTTTTTGGTGTGCAAAGAACTTTATCTCCATCTCATTTTATCTCCCTTGTGAGGTAGGTGCTATTACACCTACCCATTCTACAGATGAGGATACTGAGATTAAGAATGGCTAAGCAAATGGCTGGGGGTGACAGAGCCAGCAAACATCCAGGGAAGGATTCAGATCCAGTCTTCTTAACTAGGCGTTGTATCCTGTAGACTATGTATGATAAACCATTAAGACACTGAACTGGTTCAATACACTAATAATGGGAAGAACTAATAATAACAGCTAATAATAATAACAACACCTAACATTTATATAGCACTTCTTTTGTGCCAGGCACTGTGCTAAGCCCTTTACAATTATGATCTCATTTGATTGTCACGACAACTCTGGAAGGCAGGTGCTACTAGTATCATCACCGTTTTACAGTTCGGGAAACTAAGGCAAGCAGAGAGAGGTTAAGTGACTTGCACAGGTCACACAGCTACTAAGTTATCTGAGACCAAATCTGAATTCAGGTCTTCCTGATTCCAGGTCCAGCATTCTATCCAATGCATCACCTAGTTACCCCAATCAACTAAGTCACAAGAGAAAAAAAATTAAGTCTAAATGAAAGCCTTCATAAATGAAGGAGAACTAACTCCAGACTCTGAATCCCAGAGGATTCAAATGTCCCAAAAAGGCAAAAGAATAGCAAAATTAAATGTTAATCCACCTGAGTTTGGAAAAGTTTGCAAAATTGCTATCAGTAAAACAAACTGATACATTTCTCTTGAAGTGACTTCAGTGCTTCAAAAGGCAGAGGGCATCCATTCTCTGGCATACTATTTTTGGAAGCACACACTGTGCTCTAGCATCATTATGCAAATATTATCTGGCTATATATAACCTATTAGTAATATGTGCCATTGTATTTATGGCATATTGTAAAAGTTAATAACAAGCAACATATCCTATTACGTTATTAAATGCTAGATGGAAGAGAGAAAATCAATTATCTTAACCCATGCCTCCATTATGTACTGCAACAGAAATTAATTATGAAGACTTTTTACACGTGTATACACTTCCACCCACAAAGAAAAGATAAGATTTGACCAGAACATCTGTTCTTGCATTATATAATCTTCGGTACTCTTAATTAAAAGAATTTCACTTCAAAAATCTTAAAATGTGTATAAAATCACATCTGGTGAATATATTTAAGAGATTACTCAGGGCCTTGTTTCTTACACATGGGAGGCACTCTAGCAGTACTTAAATAGACCCGCCAAGTTTCTTCCCCAAAATACCACAATTTTACTTTTTAACAAAGTCCTTTCTTCAAGTCCCCTCTTTACTTTCTTATGGGGATCATCTTTATTAGACAAGAGTTTGTTTTCAAAAAGAATGCTTTTTAGAAGGCTAATTAATAGGAGGAAAAACATGCCTACTTATTTGCTAATCCAAATGAATTCAGATTTGTAGTTCAGCAGGGACATAAGAAGTTAAACAAATATCTTCTATTTTACAAATTTTTTAAAAACCACCATAATTAGATCTCTTTCCTGGATACCAAAATGTTCTGCTTATTGCCTTGAAAGATTACCAACTTTTAGAGCCTGAAAGTCAGCTATATGCTGCTTTGTTCTATCCATTTCCTCTTTCCTATCTGCCACCCATGCTAGTTAAGTCATTCTTTGACTTTCTAAAGCCTCCATGTCAGATTTCTCTTTTGCTTTTAAAAGTGTGGGGCTTTTGTTTTGCCTTTCAAGTCATTGCTTAAACAAGTTGTATTTTTCTCCATCTCCTTTTATCACAACAGGAGGGGACATGCAGAGGCAGGATTTGAAACCTAGTAGAAACAAAAAGACAACTAGAGCTGACCAGCAATCAGAGAGCACCAAATCCATTCATCACCACAAAAATAAATTACCATCTGCCCTACTAAGTGACAGATCAGCAGGATCCCCCCTGTCTCATTCTGAGGCTAACATTACTGAGAGAAGAGACAGAAGTGGATTGTAAAATTATAGGCAATTCTAGTTAGCTAATGGGAACATTTCAGGGATACGGCTTGGAACATGCAATTTTGGATTGTTCTAAATAAAAACTAAGCCTGGTGGGGTTCAATTGGAATTTTAATTTTTGACCTTTTTCTCAGTACAAGCTAGGCATTTTCTGACATTATTTGATTCTGTTACTTTTGACATTGGTGAAATTTTTAATATAACACATCACCTCAATTCTACTTAATGCTATAGCCGAAGTTTCAGCGTAGTTTTGTTGTTACTGTTTCACAAGTCATCTGTTTGAATTCATTTTTAATTCAATTTGGACCTAAAGGAACTATCTTGAGAATATGAAGGTAATAAACTCATTGGTCCATGTAATACATAGACTCTAAAATTCACGAGAGAGACAATACATCCAATTAGATAGAGAGTCTGAATTAATTTGTGTAGATTTTACTTTGCCAATGACCCAGTCTCTCCCATTCCATATTTCACAGGCATGCTAAAAAGATGAGCTATTTTACACAGAGCTATATTTTCTCTTAGAGAACTGCTGTGAAAATGCAATGGTTTATATTAACACTTTTTTATGTCACGTTTGTTGGAACATCTTCATGAACTGAGAACCTGAAAATTCTGACAGCCTGCTTCACTTCAGGTTACTTACATTCTAAATAAGCAACTGATACAGTATTTCCAGTTATCCAATTAAGCAATCCAGTACTATAAGTTGCACCTTCATTGCAAACTATACCCATCTGCAATACTGCACCAACTCCCATTTTCTGTCTGCCAGATTTGAGAAGGCAGAGGCAGAAAAGCCCTGATCTTGATTCTGCTAATTCCTTGTCAGTCATTTTACTGTGACAAAAAAACCCAAAAACAAACAGACAAAAAACCCACCTCAAATAGAAGTCTTTGCTTGCTTAGATCATTTTAAATATTTCTAAGCTTTTAACAAATCTTAGTATCTGGAATTTTAAAAAATTCTTTACTGAGAAATGGGTGGGGAAGACTATTCATAAGACACTTGTTTCAATAAATTGCTTTAAAAGTTTTTCTTAAGGAACAGAGCAGGCATAGGACAAGTTACACCAGCTTCCTTGAGAGCTACTAAGAGTATCGAAGGGAGTAGGCTCAAATGAGATAATATTTGCAAAGCACTTAACACAGTGCTTGGCATATATTGGATACTCAATACTTGTTCCCTTCTCTTTGAAAGTTTGAATCCTTACTTAGGAATAAGAGCACGGTAATACAACATAAAGAGGGAAAACAAGAATTCAGTGTGTTGAAGGGCAGAAGAAGTTTTCAGAAAACTTGACGGGAGACTCGCTAATTAAAATAACCCTGAGGGCATTTAAAGATGAAACTAGAAGAAGAATCACAAAGAATAAATAGAAAAGATCTGTCAAGAGTTCTATAACAAGAGCTTTTCTCCATCAATAACAGGCATATTTAGATTATGACATCATAGTTCCTGATGTCCCATGAAGCTGGAGAACAGCACAAAATAAACAGATGTGAAGATCAAGTGGAGTAGACTAAGGATATCCAAAGTGTTGGAAGTGACATGATTCTCAATCTGATTTAGGTATGTGATCTAGGAGATAATAAAGGCTTGGAAAAAATCTTACATCTTATTATTACCCCCAAAAATAGTAACTGAAAAAATACCAATAATTATTCAACCACATACCTACTTTCCCATCTCTTAAAAAAAACGGAGTGAATAATGTACATACAAGAAGCAGTATGGTAAAATGAATGTAAAGAAAAACTTATGAGTTAGGATATCAGTGAGCTGAGATCTGGTCTCTAAAACATGCTAGTTGGGGCAGCTAGGTGGCTCAGTGGATAGAGGACCAGCCTTGGAGTCAGGAGGATCTGAGTTCAAATCTGACCTCAGACACATGACACTTACTAGCTGTGTGACCCTGGGCAAGTCCCTTAACCCCAACTGCCTCACCAAAAAGCAACAAAAAAACCCCCAAACAACAACAAAACAACCAACATGCTAGCTGTATAACCAAGAACTATCTTTTAACTTTTTAGTGCCCCTAAACAATTATCTAAGACTACTTATTATAGATTAGTTGCAAATTTGTAAAG